AACCTAAACCGTAACCGTTAAAATTTGAAACGGTTTCGATCCCTGGTTTATAATGATGATGTTGATTCCTATGTATGCCTAACGATTATAGCTGCACTCATTTCATTTTAATAAAATTATTTTATATAGTAGGTTGGTATATTATAATATTATACATTTATACGCATAACACATACAATGTTGTTACCAAATAAACAACACGTATTTATTTTATTTAGGTATCATTATATTATTCCTAATAGGTGTGAATGTGTGATTAATAATAAATATTACAAACAATAATATTATAATCACTCGAACGACTGCACCGTGTGCAAGAATGCGTTATAACTAGGGCTGGGATTTCGATGCACTTTGCATTGTTTTCCTAAGCTTACTGTGCAATGCTCGTCTTGTCACAAATTTGTTTTATGTACATTTGAATGAGAATAAGAAAGTTTATTTTGCATTTTTTTTGCATTTTTTGGGATTTTTTAGGATTTTTTAGTTTTTAGGTCATTTTCTTAATTTTTTAGGGCATTTTATAGTTTTTGGAGCATTTTTTGAGTTTTTGGAAACCAAGTATGAATTTGAAATTTTATTTTAAGATTTTTACACCCACATGGTTTTTAAATAAATATAACAGATTAACTTTTTTTTTAGATTTATACTAAAACTATGTATTGACAGCTTACACTTGTAATAGATTTTTGTAATGCATTTTTTTAACTTTTTACTGTAATTTATACTAAAATTATTTTCAAAAAAAATGTTTACATCATAAAAGCATTTTTTTTAGGGTATTTTTGGAGTTTTTTAGGGCATTTTCGCCGCGGAGGCAATGCGAAAGCAGATCCCGCGGCGTCGTCGGTTAAAACAGGAAAAAAAAAAAAAAAAAAAAAAGGGCATTATTTAGAGTTTTTAGGTCATAAAAGCATTTTTTTTAGGACATTTTTCGGGATTTTTTTAGGGCATTAAAATCCCAGCCCTAGTTATAACTGATTGTAAAAAATAAGACTCGTGTCTCGCACCCTCCAAATCACAATAACGTCATTGACAATAAAATATTTGCTATAATAATATAATAGTTTACAATACGTTTATAGTTTACACTTCACACAATATGTACAAATGTACAATACTATTATTAATAATATCGTACTAACTATACTATGTACCTATTTATTATTATGAATAATATTATGAATTGTTGTAGGTACCTATTATAGCCTATAGGTTACTATATAATTAGGTACCTATAGTACCTATTAGGTAGTCTTGCTAAGCATAACTGTATAAATTTGTCTAAAGGTAGGTTGTATGTACCTATGTACATTAATTTAATCTCTGAGTAACTTAAGTACTTATATAAGTATATACAATAATATGTAATATAATAGTCTATAGATCGTAGACTTACTTAAACTCGCATTATGTATACCTGTAGCGTATAATATAGGTAGGTACGTAGTATAATCCTAATAAAGACCCGAATACGCGATTTAAGCACGTTCTAGAGCATTTAAAGGACCACATTGGTTAATCATTATATTTCTTTTTAGGTATTAACTAAGCTAAAACATCGATAAATGTTTAATTAACACTTATTTCATAGATTCTTGATATTAGATTTATAAGGATTTTAACCGTGTTAAAATCTTTAAACTGAGCTTGGAAAATATAAAATATTATAATTAATAAGTAACTACATTCGAACATTGACAAATTATTTGGTTATATCTCCAGTGTAAATCGGTTGAAATTTATAGACGTTAATAATAATGGACTGCAGATTATGTACTTTATTATACTCTACGGTATTATATCACATATGAATTTAAATAGTTTTAACGTCTTTATAATTAAAATATAAATGTCTTAAAAATAATGCAAAACGAAATAATTTAAAATCCATTTATTTAAAAGGCCTATTATGGTTTCGTAGAAACATTTATTTCATGCAAACAATCTAAGAATTGATTATATTATATTCCGTATCTGGGTCATTACCTACTCGCATTAGTTGTTACTTTAAAATTTAATATTTATAACACTATTTTAAATAACGATAAACACAAACTTAGATAACGTTTTAATAGTAAAAAACATAAAGCAGAATTTTTTTTTTAAATTTAAGCCTTGTATTTAGTGTTCACTATACAATAATATTATCATACAAAAGGGTATGCAAACAATTAAAAATTAAGACTTTGTTATTTAAGTAAGAACAATGATTTAATTCGTGCACATTTTTTAATCAGACTTAAAATACATTATTCTAATTTCTATTAAATATATGCATCTACTTACATATATACCCACCACCTAAATAATATGTATATAGTACCTATTAATGTATAAATATAAAAATGAAACATTATAAATTAGAATACAATTTTATAGATGAATAGGTATAATAGAAATAATATAGATATAATATTAAATTTAAAGAAGAAAAATGATTCAACAATTACAATTTTTAAACAGTAAAATATAAAGCTAAAAACTCGGCAATATAATATAAAAAAAAAAAATTACGAATATTACAATCAGACAGGGAATCATTAAAACTAAAACTATGAAAATTTGAGAATATAGTAACCTACCTATATTAGTTTTAAAATAATGTATCTATTAACAGGTTTAAAAATGTATTTAATCTACATAGAAAATACAAATTGTTAACCCGTCTATACGGTTATATAGGTACATCATAAGTATTTAAATGTATAACATCATTAAAAACGATAATTTTTTATTTGTAGTTATATTAATTTTATATTGATACTTTACATTTTAAATTAGTATAGGTACTTTTACACATATGAATAAAATATTTTTAGGTAAGTAGGTAAGCAAAATTATAAGATAATATTCGATAAATAATAAGCATAGCTATAAAATATGATATGCTCATATATTTTTAAGTTCATACAATTATATAATAGTGAAATAGACAAAATGCTTTTGTAAATAAAATACAAAAAAAAATGCATAAGTTTATTGTATTATAGTTATTATACATTGTAGGTACGTTTAATATCGATAAGATTACACTATTCATCTTAATCACATTTAGTATAATACAATGTAAATAATATAATATAGATTATAGCATATAGGTAAATCAATAAAATAATACAATACAAACTGTAGGTAGCAAGGGCGTCCACATGTTGGGGGAGGGCAAGTAGGGGCAGTTTTCTGAGTTGATTACCTATCATATATTATTATTGATGATTTTAATGTTCTAAGTAAACTAAAAAATGCCGTAACAATTCTAAATAGTGCACTAAATATTTTTATTTTTAATTTAAAGATATAAATTATAATCTACATTTTAAACTTTTAAATGATTGTATAAGAGTTTTACCGACAGAACTTATCATTTGGAATACTTATTTAATCTAAAAATTAACTTTTTTTTCTGTACCTATAGGTTTAGACTTAAGATCATGTATTTATTATAAAAATCGTGTAAGAACATGTGAAAATTTTAAATTTAAATTTAGAAAAACTTCAAAATGCTCTAAAATTCTTTAATTGCAAAAATGACTTTAAAATTTAAAATCGAAAATGTTATAAAACGAGGATCACGTAGATTTGGAAAACAATGCAAAGTGCATTATAATCCCAATCTCTATCATTACTGTTGTAATATAAAATATATACTTTTTTAAATTAAAAATAAAAACATAATTTTTTTTACAGAGTGATTTGTATTACACTCGATTTAGAGTCAGAACTAAGAACGTTGCTTTTCATACATTATGAGATGTAGTGGTTTGACGAAGTGCAGTGTCAACCAGGGACTGGAACCGTACCGAAATTGACCGGTTAAAGACCGAAACCTTTTGAAAAACTTGGGACCGAAACCGGACCGGAACCCTTAAATACATTTTTTTAGTAACCGAAACCGAAACCGAAACCTTTATTTTGATGTAGAGGTTTTTTTCGGTTATTTTCGGTTCTAAAATCCAATAGATATTTTATAGTGTGAACATAAATATACACTTATTGTTATTTGTTATTACACATCTGATCAAGATACTCCCTCTATCTATTATTAAAATAAACTAATACTATTTTTACAAACAATTATTATAGTACCAACGAAAAAATATATTATATTATATTATTAGCTAAATTCTTAAATAGGTACACTCAATTATAAATAGGTACCAATCATTAAATAGAAGTTCTTAATATATTAATTTTTTTATACAGAACTTAATTGATAAAAATAAAATAAAAAGCAAAAATCAAATAATAAGGGTTAAAACCGGTATTAACCGAAACTGAAACCGAAACCGAAATTTGATATTTTTGAAAACCGAAACCAGAACCGAAACCGAAATTTTGGATTTTTGAGAACCGAAACCGAAACCGAAACCCATAAAATCATAAAGGTTCCAGTCCCTGGTGTCAACAAAGTTTTTACTTTTTTGATAAAAAATTTAAATGTTCTTAGATAGCATGCCTACAATAGTTACAACTTTTCAAGTTTGTGGTATCAATGACTGAATAAACTAGAAATATATAATTTTATAAATTATCCAAAATTATAAAATCAACAGTAACATTTTATTTATTAAAAAATAATGTAATTGATAGTTTAAAATTAAATGACAAGTAATTAAAATTAATGCTGAGAGATAAAGTTTTTACTAACTATGTAAGTATAATTCATTAATATTTTTACATTACTTGTCTATATTATAAAAGAAAACATGTCACAAAAATACTTTATAACTGATAGTGAGACAAAAAATGTATAAAGGAATATATTTTGCTCTCCCTTGACAAATTCCTGAGGACGCCCTTGGTAGGTAAGCAGGTTACACACCTGCAATAGTTGTATTATATTATTATAATATTGTAATAACATGGGAAATGATTCATGTACAGTTAATGTCTTAACCTATTTGTTATGACTTATTATGTATGAAATTTCTTATTACTATTATACTATAATAGTATATTACACCGGTTGTCTGAAATGCACTAAATATATTACTGTATTACAAGAACACACTGGGGAATGAAGGTAAAGTAGAGGGATTGTTGATGATTTCAGACAAAGTCAAATGTTTCCAGTCCGTCAATTTTCCGACGAATTTGATTCTTATGCCCAGAGGATAATTTTTCAACAGTACATCGCATTGGGCCGGAGTGATGTATTTTAATGCTTCGACATCGACAAATTCATCTACAAAAAAATGCATCAAGATTATATTAATATTATTCTAACTCACTGCAGGGCTTGAAACCGAAACCGAAACCGTAATCGAAACCGAAACCGAAATAAATTGGATACCGGTATTAAAATCAAAACCAAAACCATAAAAAATTGGATACCGGTATTAAAGTCAAAACCAAAACCGTACAAAATTGGAAACCGGTATTAAATTCAAAACCGAAATCTAAAAAAATTTGAAACCGTTTTTTTTTTTTTTTTTAATTGACGTGTTTTTAAATACGTAAATTCCTTTGATACGCATAATTAATACTCATAATAAAATTGAGATCATGATTAAAATGTTGATAACCATTTCATTATTCGCAAAATTAATAGTTGCTTTAAGACTGAAGTAATGATATAAATTATAGTTACTAGCAAATACTATATATATGATAATACGGGACAAACAACGATGCAAAGTCCACTTTTACCAATTGTTCAGGAGAAGCAAAACAAAATTCATTATAGATGACACAGCCCCCTGAAAATACTCGAATGCGCTATATTTGTATCTTTCAATCCTAGACCGTTCGTTACTTGCCCAGGGGAATTATCCATGTGTCGCGATTTTTGGTACTAGTTGTCCCGTATTGTCTATTAACTCAATAATAATATTGTGTTTGTTATTATAATTTATTATTATATTATAGTGATTTATTGGGCACCACATTACATTTGACATTTGACAACAACATTAAATTATTTGCCGGACGACCGCGATGGCCCGTATACGTCTATTCATATTTTATTGAATTGTATTAAATTCTAAATCGTATAATAAATAATCCAACAATAAATAATAAGCATTAAAATAGCACGGGTTTTAAATTGTGGCTGGTGTTAAACAATAATTATACTTAATGATTATTATAACTGTAGCATAATTTTTTTATGTTGTATGTTTTTAATTTTTATAATTTTCAATGATCATAAATGTGTGTTTAATTATACAAACAAAATTGTCAAGTGTGAAAATACTAAATAGTGAATGTATTATTCTTTTTTTACTATAGGTAAATATTTATTTTTTCTATAAGAAAATTAAGTATTATTCCATTGTCATTAATAAAACGCTACAAAAGAAAAAATCCGAACAGGGAAAAGGTTTGCATCAAAAGAAAGATGGTCTAGTGATGAATGTACTACATATCTTTAAACTTTAAACTGTTCTAATTTTGTTCTACCTTCTAGGTTCCTTATAGCTTGTTATTTGTAGAATAAAATTACAAAATCACTCCTATTAAAACATTTCTCTTATTTTTATCAAACATTAAAAAATCTTATCAAGTAATTATGTATAATGAAACCGTTCAATTATAATTTCAAGTCTGCTTGGAAATCCGTTCATAAAAATTTAGAAACCGGTATACAAAACCGAAACCGAAACCGAAATTTCTTAATACCGGTTTTGCTAAGTTGAAACCTTAAAATATTATACCATTTATATATTTTTTATATTTTTTTATTACAACATTAAATACTCTAGAGAATCCTTGTCTTAAATTTTTGATTCTTGGCTATAAAAATAAATTGAACATTTTATTTATTTTAACTAAACGATTGTTTGTAAATGTTTGTGCTTTTGACGAATGGTAGTCAGAACTTAAACTCCAAATGTTTTAAAAAAAGTTATGGATACCTATATGTACCTATATGTACCTATATTTTTAATATTTTTAATGACTATAATAACACTTTTAATATGAAACCTTATTTTAAGGTTTCTAGCTTTTTGACCCAGCTAAATATGTTTTAATAATGTTTATAGAAAAATAAAATAAACAAATTGAAAATAATTATAAGTAGGTTAAAAAGTATTAAATCATACCATACATAGGCGATGATTATATAAAAATTTGTTGAAAATGTCAATTATCTATGGTTTGTTATATATTTTATTAGTTTTTAAGTAAAATTAAAAAAAAGGCAGGATTTTTTCGAATAACGGTTTTGCTTAAAAAATTAAGTTTTTCCTTATTTTTCCCCCGTGGTTATTTTGTAAAGTAGGTAGTGGACCTCTTTTACTTTCGAGTCAAAAATTTCGACACCAATAATTAATACCAATTATTTCTAATTTGCTCCCAGACAACATTCTCAAAATGTAATATCAAGTATTTTTCGTTTTTATCATTCCAAAAGACAATGATAAATAAAACGCACATCATTGTAAAACTAATGATTCATGATTTATCGCTTCACGAAACTAGGAGCCTAAAATAAGTATCTTTAGTTATAAAAAAAATTTTTCAGAAATATTATGTTGTAATGACTTTAAATTATGTAAAAAATAACAATATAATTTCATGCACTGTTTTAAAAGTGATTCTTACCGTAAAGAGTCCTGAATAAAAATCCCATCTTCCATTCACTGAGCAATGATAGTAGCTTTACTGAATCCGCGTTGTTCATTTTTAAACACTCTGGTATATTTTTTCTATTATCAATGTCAGGTTTCACGATATTATTATGCACATTCTGAATCGGTTGGTACCAATATGCAGTATACCCATTTATTCCGTTATATACTGCAGATGCATTGGGTGCTTGATTGCTCATTTCTATAACTTAATATAATACTATGATATACAAATTATACATACATACTTCATAAAATCTTAAGTAAATGTAGAAATTAAATCAATAAACCCATAACACAAAGACATAAAAAGTTAAAATTAAAAAAGTGGGCGAGTAGGTAACCACGTATTGAGCACTACAATTTGAGGTCTCTACAATGGAATGAATTCAATAAATCTTTGCAAACCAAAAAACGATTCCGAGGGGAGATGTTTTGTAAGCTATTACTATTTTTTTTTTTTATATAGGTAGCTATATTTATATTCTTATAGCGACGTAGTGTATAGTATGCAATATGTTTGCAATAATTTTTATGATATAATTGCATGTTTTGGTTTATTAAAAATTATTATTGTAGTATTAGGTTTATGCAAAGGTATTTAACCTAATATATAATATAATATATTATTATGTATTATATTTTTGAACTTTTGATTCAAAACCAACTTAACGCAGAACTGTTCAGTTAATTTGTGTTATAAAGAAGCAATAGCTAAATATTAAATATAAATTAATTTAAAATTAGTACCTAAAGGGTAATGATAATAATTTATATAACAGTGGAATGTCTTGTAGTTGAAAATAAATAAAAGTATATAAAACCTGCATTATTAGGTACTGATATAAAATAAATATATAATAAAATATTCATAGAAATATAGGTTATAATTAATAATATAAATAAAAATAGTTATATCATTATAATATGTGTATTATAATCAGAGGCGTGAACATGATTTTTCCAGTGATGGTGGGTGGGGAGGGGGGTGGATTGGCGTAAATCTAATTTGTGTAAGGAGGGTGTTGATTATAAATATTATTATACAATATACGCATATACAAACTATAACTTTGATTTTAATCAACAAATACATGCATACATAATGTCTGCTACGATCAATATATTATAATGATAATAATAATATATATTATGCAATTTAATTAGTATTCCTATACAGTTTAATTCATTTAGGTAATAATTGCATATGACGTGCCTCAATGGGGTTGTCATACACCCCAATCCCCCCTCTTGGATACACTACTGGAGGCGGGTTCTTCTAAGCAATAATATATTTTTAAATTAATTGTGGTGATATCAAAGGCACGAATAAGAGGATTGTGTTCTTTTTAGCGTTTTAATACAAGTGTAAAATGTTATTTTAAAGTTATTGTTCCCGCATACAAAATAGGCTGCACTATACGTCTGAATAATACATTTAGAATAATTAACATATGACTATATGAATAATATAAAAGTATGTAGGGGGGACGGAGTGGCCGAGCGGTCTAAAGCGTCGGTTGCGACGCTTCCGGCGCTGGTTCGATCCCGTGGTCACGGGCGGCATTTTTCTTCGGGCAAGTCACGGTGTCCGGAGAACAAATGCCACCATCCCCCACCCGGGCATGGCACTATGGCAGATACCTACGGGTGCCCAAATCGAAAATTCTGCCAAAACCCACACACGTGTTAACAACCTACAGTTCCCCCCTACAGTACCACAGGCTAATGATCTTTGTGGTCAAAACCTCAACCCTAATAAAAAAAAAAAAAAAAAGTATGTAGAACATTGCAGGTATAAATAACTATAATGTTAGTAGGTACCTATATATACAATAATGTAGCCTATAAGCTAACCGTTTTTTTTTTTGTACAGATATTTTGTCTATATAATATGGAGCGGGTGGGTATACATACAACATTTAATATTACGTATAATATGATCTTACAACAGTCGTATCGTGGTTGAAATATACAGGTTATAGCATATTGACTCTGATTGTTATCAAACAAAATGACTGCGTAAAGGGATATCACAAATATCAATTTTTCTTATTATCAAAAACACCCTGACAAAAGCTAACCTAAATTCAAAATTCCCGCGCATGTATAACTTGATGATTATTAGCTCCCTTTACGCACCCATTTTTGTTTTTATCATCAAATGTTTGATTGAGAAGGAGAAGAAATGCAATAACCTTGTATATTTCAACCATGAGTTGTATGTTGAACAATACATGAGCAAACTATGCGGTACAAAAAAAAAATCAGTGGTGTATTTACGTGTGGCTTGGGAGAGGAGTCCACGTATGAATTGATTTATCTCTGCTCGATATAGTGTTAGGTAGTATAATGGAGAATATCACAATTGCCTACGTTATGCACCTTTATGGCTTTATGACATATTTTAACTACCTATTAAAAACATGCACCACCCCATCCAAATAAAAAATAATCCCGTTTCAAAGCTTTGAACATGTTGTATCATTGACGCCTATGCCCATATATACAAGCGTTTATAATATAAATAATATTTAATAATATATTGTATGATATAACCCTATTTTATTATATAACTACTTACCTTTGAAGTACGACGGAAACAACAACGACAATGGCTTGACAAAACGTGATGGAGGAACGTTAACAGCGAACTCTAAAACTATCTATTAATGCTACACCGACCGTCCGTCTCGAACCGTATTTGAAACTCAAATGATTATAATGGTCTCGGCACCTAATATTATATCGGACGAAAATGACGACGGTGACCAATCACGATTCCGCTAAGACCTGCAACGGAGAAGGCATTATTTAGGTATATATATATTAGATACAATATTATATAATATATAGCATAAACCATAAGGGGTAATGAAGGCCCCAAGTGTCGTGGTGGGCGGGATGTACATATTCTATACATCGTTATAATAACGAGCATAACGTGGTGTATGCATTGTATTATAATATGTGCCTCTCTATACTATAATATATACATATAATAAAAATACTGCCGGGCCCGCCTGCTGTCTTGGCAGATATCTAAGCTGCACCGTATGTAGAACCAATGTATTATGATAAAATGCCATCTGTTTTTTGTTTTGCCCATGACTGCAAGTGAATGTGTTAAATATATATTTTGTTTGACCGACACATTTTCCGATCAGCTGTTTCAACGGCGAATTACTACGATAAAATATACATCACTATTTATTATAATATGCGGACCCATATAATATAGTGAACAACGATCTACATAATTATTTCGCCCTTTCAATAATTTTATCAGCAGTTATATTATGGTAGTAGTAGGTCAGTAGGATAATAATAATAAAAAAAAAGTAGTAGTAGTACCTAGTAGTAATATAGTATGTAATATGTGTGTAGTTTAAGTATTAGTTATTTACCCATAGGCGAAATTTGGGGTGTGCTTGGGGGTGCTTAGCACCCCCAAAATTCATACTAGCACCCCAACATTTTTGATAGCATCATCCAATTTTTATTGACTATACTATTATGCCATAGGTATTTGGAAAAATTTATTTCTAACACTTTATCATTTTCATAATAATAATAATATATGTATTACCTATGCATAGGTACCTATCAGAATAATAATATAGATAAAAGTGTATTATGTTATAGGTAATTGTTTATATCAAGATTAATGCGAAGGTGTACAAAATTAAGTTGTATGAAAGGAAAGGGGTGTAGGGGGCAGAGCCCCCCTCTGACCACGTTAGTCGACATAAATCTAGCAACCCCATAAATTTAGCCCAAATTGTGCCTATGTATATACCTACAGTTAATAGTTATACAGTATACAGGGTTTATTTATTAGTATATAGCGGTACTTCGTACTTACTATATATCGAATCTATAAATTAAATTCTTAAGCCGGATGCATCCGAGTTTGGACCCGGAATTTAAATGTCTATACTATAGTTATTGGGTCCAGAAATATTTTATGTAGAGTTTTACAACAATATTATGATAAAAGTAGGTAATATAAATCTTCTGATATTACATAAAAATGAATTGCTGTTCGTTAGTCTAGCTAAAAATTGAAAACTGCCGGACCGATTTGGCTCAAATTTTTTATGTAATTTTCAGGAAAAGATCTTAAAGGTCTAAAAGGTCCAACCAGGGGATGTGCTCAAGCGGGGACTTAGAGATTTACAGTGGACATTTTTGTCTATAAATGGTATCCATGGGTTTTAAATGTTTAAATTTGGTTTTTTTTATTTATCTGATATTAGTACTGTTAGGTAAGGTTAGGATTTTGTATTGATTTATTATATTAATCCACCATAGGTCCACTTATACGACAAACTTGGTATAACTTTGATGCTTTCGAGTTAAATAATACACTTACGTACAAAAATCACGGGGTCCTTGATCTACCTGATAATATACTGCTGCGAATCAGAATATTTATACCGGGCAATGGAAAAGTTAAGATGAATTTTTAACACCATACACAGAATATTAAATAACGAATTGAACAAAGTTTGAGTCATATAGAGTTGGACAATTTAACGGGTAACGAAGTGCACGGGGTCAGCTTGTATACAATACAAACAAAATAATAATAATAATAAATATTTTGTAATACATTTATAAATACGATTTAAAAAAACGCTTGCCAAGTTAAGGATCGATATGTAAACTTTCTTGGTTTTTATTTTTTAGAAATTTATTATCTGATATCACACCCAAGCGGTATAACAATATGAATCCAGAAAAATGTCGGCGTGAACAGCCCCACAAAAAAATCATTTTTATTTTCATTTAGTAAGACAGATCTCCGAAACCGAAGAGCGGATTTTGTTGTTTGGGGTCTTGTTAGATTCACATTGATTAGGAGAAGTGCAGTGAAGATTTTTGGAACTTTATCTTTAATAGTTAATTCACTACAGAACATTAAAACAAATTGTATTATATGTTAGCTTTACAGCTTTGTAGTGAATTAACTATTGGAGTTAAAGTTCAGAATATCTTCACTGCACTTCTCCTAGCCAATGTGAATCCAACAAGAACCTAAACAACAAAATCAGTTCTCCAGTTTCGGAAATCTATCTCGCTAAATGAATTCTAGGAAAAAATAACTCTTTTTAACCTGTGAAAAATTCAATAATTTTTTTAAAAAAAATTTAATTCCACATTTAGTATTTACTTGATAATCTCTTTTTAATGAGTT